TTTTTGTTTCATATTGACAATTGGTGTGAGACTCGAGACCAAACTCATAAATTAAAATTATATTTCATTACATATTCGCTTTTCTAGTTTTTTAATTTTATTTATTTAATTTTTTTCTATACCTAAAACAGCATGACTTCCGTTTAGGAACGAGTTCTAGCAATTGCCTATAATAGTGTATCCTTGCTTGTATGATCGGTGTGTGATGTATATGTGCATATAAGTTTTTCATGTGTTGCCTTTTCTTACAGCTCTCCGAAGGGGATATTTGCTTTAGAGTTTGTCCAGAGGTTCGTCCCTTTTATTTTTTGTTGTTTTTTTTTTGTTCATTTAACATTATTCCTGTTTATGCAAATAGCTTGAATCATATGTTCGCCAGTGTCTCGTTGTCCTTTGATTAAGCACAGTTGGTTTTTGATACTTTACTCGCGTTCACGTGTGAGAAATAGTCAAGATATAAATAAAATAAATGCAATAATACATATATTCAAATTAAATAAGTTAATTACGAATATAAAAATTAACGAAATCGGTTAACTCAAGTAAATCGGATAGTCTAAACAAGCCTATTTGGCTGTGCAAGAAATGTTTGAACACGTAAAATATCGTTCCTTTCAGTTATGAAAGTGATTTAAAGAAAAAAAATAATTTTTGTGCTAAATGTTGTTTAATTTTTAATTAGTCTTACTTCTATAAAAATAACATATTAAACATAACTTAATATATATTTATTTAAATCTATATATATATAGTATTTTAAGTGCTGTGCATATGAAAATTATTTTAAAGCTATGACTACTTATAAACTGAAGGAATTCAAAGACATTTTGCAACTCACAGATACTCCAGTAAACATATATTTCCACAAAACATATAATATAGATCTGAAAAATTCACATTAGTGAGTGGAGAATTTACATTGCGATCTAGAGATCTATTGTGTCCTAACATGCGATAGACGTTTATTAAGTAAAATAAACTAAGCACAAAAAATTTATAAAATAATTAAAATTTATTTTAGACGTCTTAAAAGCATAATTATTAAGTTAATAACAGCAATTTCTAAATATTAAACATTTTAAATAATTTATTATAAATAATTATGATCACAAGGCAGGATCACTAACACGATCGATTTGTTGTCAATATTAATCAATTTAAATTAAAAAAACTTGTTATAAAAGTGAATTGGTATAAAAGCGTTATATTACCATTAGATGTGAGATATTAAAATATATCTGCCACCCATAAAAATTTTACAAAAATATAATTCTCATAATATTTTATAACTTTATCAAGTTATTGTTATTATCGTAATTATGGTCCTTATTATATCCTATCACTCTTAGTGATAGCAATAAAAGCCTGTGTAGATGAAGATCACTGTAGATTGCAAAACTCACATGGCTCAAATTGTAAAAAATGCATACCAGTCAGCTACTTGAACTAAAGCGTAAAGCGAAACCAACTCAGTAGTACAGTATCAGTGTTGACCGACCACTGTATATTAGAGACGCATACAATAAGACAGGAGCTACCGTCTATCGACTTTCGACGAGGCCGGAGATCTGAGGACGAAGAGAAAGAGGTTATATAACTTTTATAGAACTGTCACTCTTTAAAATTAGGGATATAGTCAAGGTTGAAGACTTGTTAGGTTGAATGCCTTATACTTACATGGGGTAATCGCACCTTCTGAAATTGACGTTTTTCTTGCGCTAATTTCTACCTTTAAAGCGATTCTTCAGCTCTGGTGTACGGATACTGATTTAACTGTAGTATCACAACTAAAATGTAGTATTATTTGTGCGTAAGTGAGCTTTGCTGCACAATATTGTCGCAGTCTTAGTGAAACATAACTGCTTAAGTTAATACCAAAATAATATAGAATTCTGGACTCCTAGTACAGCAAAGTACTGCAACTGGTCCTAATTGAGCAGACTAAACTGTCTTTTAGATTATAGTACCAATATGAAATAAATAATATATACAACTCCGAATTATATAGGGATATTGTCGATAAAGTTATCTTAACACCAATATCACATGTTGTTCATAGGTTTTATGTATAAACCGACGGCAGGGTTTACATGCCGGAGTCACTCGTCGCCAGCGACGACCAAGTGCCGTTCAACACCTCTCAAAAGGACTTCACATCAGATCCCAACGTTGTTGTTACAACAACAACATGTATAAACCGATATTGTAAACGTTCTTCTATTATTATTATACAGTAACCCTAATTGGCACAGCAATTATTAAGATACATAATCAATATGAGTCTATAAGACTACTGTTATTGTAAATTCTAAACCGAACTCAAGAATTTTAAAAAGTAAAGAGTAATCATTGTATAAGTCATTTGCACCTCAATAAAATCTATATAAAAAATATATTTTGTTTACAAGCCAATAGAAAAAACAGTTGCGATAAAACGGCAAACTCTTCAAAGTACTCTCTTTTTGTATAACAACTATAATATGTTATGAAATATCTTATGAAATAAAAATTGATATTTGGAGGCGCAGAAAATAAAATTATTAAGTATTATTATTTTGAGATTTTCTTACCTTCTTTCCAACATTGCAACTCTGCGTGCGTTAAAACTTTCTCTACAATTTCTCTCTTTATCCACAGTTCGCTTGTTTTAAACTTCCAAAAACTTCAACCTATCCTAGAACTTCAACCTATTCTAATAAAAATGGAAGTAATTTCAAGTGTTTGTGAAATTACAGAGAAAAAGTGTATCATATTGTATTAAATGATCAATTTGAATAAGAATCAGAGAGCTTAGCAAAGGAGTTTGGCATTTCACACATAAAAAAAAACTTGGTACGAACGGTGTAAGCAAAATAAGTTTCACTTTTTGGGTTGATTAAAAATTTTTATCCAACATTCAACTCCGAAGCCCAAGATTAATTGAAATAGTGATTTCCATCGGGATGATTGTAGGTATTACTTTTTAAGATGACGAAGACGTAAGACTGATTGAGTAGCTAGAAATGGGACGCATTGATGGCGAATATTTCACGGTATCCACCACACTTGTATGGTCAGCTCAAGTATTCTTTTAAATAAAAATTAAATATAATATAAATATATTTAATGTTAATTTTTTCTTGCCGATATTGACGCGTCTTTATGACGAAAAAAAACTTTTTAAAAGTTAGATGGATTTGAATAGTAAATAAAAGACAAGGACAAAAATGTATTTAATTTATTGAAATTTGGCTGTTTCTAGTATTGCCAAGTACTCATCATCAGTGGTCTTAAGAAATAATTGAATTTTAATTAGTTTATAGACCGTATATAATTTGTTTGGATTGTCAAATTAGAAGCGATTACTAATCGTGTTTATTCATAAGCAGCCAAGGCTGCACAAACTTTTAATGCTCAAGTTTCAAGTTTTTTTTCACTTTTTATTTAATTTGTGACAATATATTTAAATAATAATATTCCGACCTCTGAGGAAGAAGTCAAATACTATATACTATATAGTAATAAAAATTAAATATTTTTAGACTGGACATTTTTATTACTATCCCCTTTTCTATTCGAAATAGATTAATTGCTATAGGACATTAGAAAGAAATTTTAATTATAAATATTTTTATTTCTTTAGGTAGAGTTACATTCGGCGGTAAAGAGTATTTATGAAATAATATTTCACAGACTAAAACCCCTTTTTTGCTTAAACAGCTTAACGATTTGGCATAAATTACAATTGATCGATAATTAGCTCAAAAAGTTTAACTGGTATTCAATTATTGCTGAAAGCAAATCTAATAAGCTTAGCAACCACTTATTTTCATGTCCTAATTAAATTTGTCACATCCAAAAATCTGCATAAAACTGCAGAGAAATTCCATAATATTGCGAAATTCCAATGTGCAGCCGGACTTCAAGCGGAAAGGATGCGACAATGTACATTTAGGAAAATGCCATAAAATAGTGTCGCAAAACCATGGACAACAAAACGCCTTTGCCCATACCAAGCGTAACGCTAGCTAGCCTTCGTCAAGTAAAATTAGGAGAAAAAATGCATTTCACTCGTACGTCTGCTGCCAATATTTACCTTTTGTTGGCGACAAAAAAATATTCTTCTTCCATCAATGATACTGAATTTATTTGTCAGCGAATGAGCACTTCGAACAAAACAAACTTTTGTTGATTGTCGGGCAAAAAGTGACACTGAATAGAATGAGGTATTGTTCCCTTTGTTCCCAATTCTGTTAAAATGTTTTATGTGCAATAGTGTCATTTTTTTCCTTTTTCAATAAAAAGAAACATTTTTTTTCTTCTCTTCAAATGTGCTCATTAACTATGCACAGAAGAAAAGGGGTCAGCTTAGGTTTTGTCAAAGAAATTTTAAGTGTATTCTTAACATGTAACCATTCCGTTGAGTGCACACATTTGAAACTTATTTCGTAGTATTTTTTTTATTTTTTATTAGGCTTTTTTTTTTCTTTTTCTTTTTTTTAACAAAGTTAGTTCGCATACGCAACTCTATATATTAATCCTTCAATATAAAAACTGCCTGCTATTCACCGTTCGGCGACCTCTTCACTTTTGCTTTTGTGTTGAAATTGTTGTGAATTTTGAAAACTTTTTCTAACCACAATTCTATGTATATTAGGGCTCAAATCCTAGCCTCAGATGGGGTAAACAATTTTTTTTTTAACAATATTTGCATATAAAATTCTTCTTTTTCGACAATGAGGCTTAAACATTAATTGCAGTGCTTATTGTGATTTTATTTTTGAATTCATTTAAAAAAACCAAGCGAATTCAATTTCATTTAAAGCTAAGTATTTAATTATATTCAATGTAAATAAATAGACAATTCAATCTTAATAATTCCTTCCCATAAATAACACATTGGCAATATCCTTTTAACACTTCTCTTAGAACATATTCATCTCTGTGTATACAAATTGTATTATATAAAAATAATAAATATTGAAGATATACTATATTCAAATATAATGTAATATTGCTTACATTGTTAACTTAACCTGAGAAGCGACATGCGACTAAGTCTCCCATTATCCTTATGTTGAGATAGAACACACTATAAATTTCCCGCTGTATAGTTTTTTCTTTGTGCTTAAAACTTTAGGTTTTGGAGCTTTGTAACTGTCATGGCCTCATAACCATATCATGGTTACAAAGCCATGCCCTCAGTATATTGTTCAATGACAATAACTGAACACAACAGTGGTAGCTAGAAATTGAAAATTAGCACCGTAGATATACTTAGTCCTATAATTTATTCCATCCACATATAAAAACGTGACTCGATTAATGGATTTATAAAAAGAAATCCCTTCCACCTAAGCACCAAAATTAGTTAAGTTTTTAATTCTGCGATCCTTCTGTCTATACAACCAGTCAAGTATCGCTTGCTACGCCCGTCAAAGATTACAACAACAACAACAACAAATGTATTAGGAATTCTCCTGATGAAGACAAAAGCGATTTGCTGATATTAGAGAAAGACTAATTGTATATTTATTTGCTGATGCTAATATTCTACTCACTAAGGCTTAAGTGAGTAGAAGAAGAGCAAGAAAAGCACTGCGAAGATATCCAGATATCCAATATCTAAGATATCCATTACATTATAGCTACTTATTATTATTAGACTATAAGATTTCAAAATTAAATAATTTTTTAACGTGAATTTTTTTTTGTCGAATGTGCCGCGTCTTATAACGAAAAGAACTGAAAGGGTTCGAACAGTAATAAAGAAACAACAACAAAAATTTGATTAATTTCAATAAATTAAAATTTAAATAATTTTTTATTCATTATTAAATCATTATTATTATAAAATAATAATTAAATTAACTAATTATCTCCAATTGAACAGAACTACTAACTTGAAAGTTGTATTTGAGGTTATGACATTATTCATTCCATTTCTGCGAGTATGAGATTGCTGTGGGTGAATCGGAATCGGTTATTCCTGTCTAAATCTGTTTTCTAGCTCGTAGTGTGTAAAGATAATTTGAATATGTTAGAACTACAAATAAAAAGAATGCAACACTGACTTCAAGCTATATGTACGTTTTTTTACAACGAGGTCAAATTTCCGATAGTTAAACCTTAAGGATTAAACCTTCATAATAAAAATGAAATGTTTATATACTATTTTATCTACTGAATCTGCTGTTATATCTTTTTTTATTTGCATAGGCTAACTGAAATTGTTTAGTTAAGTTTAATTTATGTATTATTTATTGTGTTTATTTAGTGTAAATCATCAGCAACAAAATCAACAAACATCGTTGCCCTCAACAACACACATGCAAAAAATAAGACAGCAACATCAACATATAAATAGCAATAACAATATAAACAAAGGCAACCATCAACAAATTCATCACCAATATAATCATCAACCGCGTATGGCTGCGGCGCAACAGGTCCAGTCACAAACACATATACGACATCCGACACACCATGCGCATCCACAGCAGCAACAGCAACAGTTGCCTCAACAGCAGCAACAACATGGGCAGTATCGCATGCCCAATATTAATAACGTGAATATTAACAAACAGCCAATATCAAACAGCAACTCCCAAAATCACATACAACATACGCAGCCGCAGCCACAACCGCAACCGCAATACTACACAGGCAATAAACCAAGATTTAACAATAATAATGCAAATAATTATACTGGTCAGAAACAGTTTTCACAAAATCAATATCGCTTTGGAAAACAACGGTCCCAAATGGCATCTACATCTGCTGAGGCTCCGCTGGGCGTTGCCAAAATGCCAAATAAAAAACCAGATATTCCAAGTACTGTAAATAACAATAACAATATTATTATCACCCCAGATGCAACATCCTCTACTGCAGTTGTAGACTGCAGTGAAACTCCAAACACAGCAGAAGATCTGCAAAAGACGCAAGAAAAAATCATAGTTGAGGAACCACAACAACAACAACCAACACAACAACAATCGCCGCCGCCACCTACAGGTAGTTTTCCTTTTAATACAATAATCCAGTTTTAATATTATATATGCAATTTATTTCAGATAATTCAGATGAGTCTAATAAAGAAAATATTTCCCTCGAAGGAAATCAAGAGCCTCAAAATAACAACAACATCAACTTTACTAATAACAATCATTCCAACAATAATATTATAAATTCCAACAACATCAATATACTTTCAGATGATGATACATCTCCTGCAAAGAATTCAAAAGAAAAAACACCTATGTGTTTAGTTAATGAGTTGGCTAGATTTAATAAAGTAAGTAATAAATACTACAGCTTTAGAAGTGGATTTAACAAAA